CTAAGCAAAAAAAAACAAAACAAAAAAATTTTTTCTGTCTCAGACTCAGCTGCTATTTCAAGGTTTGAGAAGCATGAAAATAGAGCAACTGTCAAAATGAAAATCTAAAAGTTGACATTCACATTGTCTGATAACCAGTCAGCCTATCTTAAGCAAAATACAGAGTAAAATCTCATTGAAATGAGAATATTCCGCTGGTTCTGATCATGAAAACATACTGTAATCCTGGTTTGAGAATTATTTTCTGGTATAATGAAATTTCAGGGAAAAAAAATACAGTGAAACCTCTGTAATACATTTGTACTCTGAGTAAAATATTGCTCATAGAATAGATAGATATTAAATCATAGAATCACAGAACCACAGAATGGTTTGGTTTGGAAGGGGCCCTGAAGACCATCGTTTTCCTCCCGCTGCCATGGGCAGGGACACCTTCCAGTGTCCCAGGCTGCTCCAAGCCCCATCCAGCCTGGCCCTAAATAAACACTCCCAGGGATCCAGGGGCAGCCACAGCTTCTCTGGACGACCACTGCCAGGACCTCACCACCCTCACAGGGAAGAATTTCTCCCTAACATCTGATCTAAACTGACTCTCTTTCACTTTCAACACAGTGCCCATGTTCCACGACTACAGTTCTAGATGAAAAAGGCAGATTTCATGTTGATTTTTTATTTCTGACTAATGGAGGGGGTTGTAGAGGGAAATGCTTTCAAAGGCACCACTCCTCTCAGATTTTTGCTTGAAGCCAGTAAGACAGCTCATGGGTGGAAGGATAAACAACTGCATAATTCTTTTCAGGAGCACAACCATACTGGCAAAACTAACAGCTTTGATGGCAGGCTTCCCAAAGAGGCCAGGAGCTGGAAGAAACATGAGCTGCCCTCCTAACTTAAGGCAAAATGGGCATCATATTATCCATGGACTGAACTGAGCCCGCAGCTGATTCCTCTGGGGTCAAGAAAAAACAAATACAGGAAACACTGCTCCATGAGGGCTGTGATATTTCTGCATGGCTTGAATTTCCAGAGGGGTTCTAACATCCACATTAAGAGTTCAAAAAAGCTCCTAGAAAGAATGTTTTACAGCTCAGACTTATAGCACATTATTAAAAGGAACTTGAGTAGTCAGTTCCCCTATAAATTGCTCAATGTAATTAATATTTTGGAGTGGTTACTAGGTTAATGCTTTTGTATGTTTTCTAAACAACATTTCAGTAATGCCACAGATCCTATTAATTTATTTTATATAAAGCTGCAATTTAGTATAATTAGTATGGCATGAGCTTGAATAGTTTTAATGTGTTTTTTAAAGGTGAATATGTTCTAATTAGATATTTGTCTGTTACACATGTTTTAAATACTAAGAATCAGGTGTTCATCTGGAGTAAAGAGACAAGGTGAAAGTATCATTACCTAAAGTGAAAATATCAGCATTTTTGAACAGCTGGTTCTACATGTTTCTGAAAATCTGATGATAATTAAAGACATACAAGAATGCATTTACTGATCTAATGACTTTAGTGTTTGAAAACACTAAAATTAAAATGTTACCAAATCATTTAGTTCTGTATTTTTCTATCTAAGAGCTATGGAATAGAATGCATATAATACTTAAGGGTTTCTTAGAGCAATGGCTGAAAAATCAGGGAATTGACACAGACAAATGTTCCAGGCCAGGTTGGATGGGACTTGGAGCAACCTGGTCTAGTGAAAGGTGCTCCTGCCCATGGCAGAGAGGATGGAATGAGGTGAGCTTTGAAGTCCCTTCCAATACAAACCATTCCTTGATGCTATGAATGCCTAAACATTAATGGCTTTTCAGTGAGGGAAGGAAGGTGCCTTGCCACCACATAAACATCAAGATAATGATTTACTCTCTTTTCCACCCAGTTTTTGCACAATTTCTCCCATGTTGTTCAGAGAAAATTTAAAATGTTTATTCTTTAGGCTGGTGAATATAACTAAAACTTGCTTTAAGAAGGAGTAGAAAAAAAGCCATTTCTTAGGACATGAAAAATCACTTGCACACATAAAGACTATAATTTCACTGAAGCCATCATAAAATAAAAATATCATTAAAAATAATTAACTCATTGTTTTTTTCTTTTTCAGCAGTGTTTCGCTTAAGTCACAATTTTAATTGCAGATTAGGTTTTTTTCTTGTAGTACTGTTGATAGATTTGAAGAAAGCAGCATACATCATTATCTATACAGCATGGGGATTCACATTTCAAACAACAGCTTTGTCTGGCCAAGCCACTACAGCCCATCTAATTGTTGCAGAATTGCCATTAAATGGAAATGAGGCCTAGGAATGTTGAACTTAATGTTATGTCCTGAAATAACATTAATAACATTACAGTTGTTTTAATGAAATTCATAGGAGAAAAATGTCATTCAAGAAAGCAACAATATTATCCCTGGTGCCCTAGTCAAATTCCAAGCTGACTGATTGCATTCTGACACCTACTGTTTTTCAGCTGTTTGAATTTGGTGTGCTTGTGTACCTCCCTGTTTGTTCATTGATATGTTAATGCCCTACATCACCAGCTCATTGCTGCCTGTCACTCCAGAGTTAGTTGGCTGTCACTTTCGAAGGTCCAAATGCTTTTAATGAAGCTGTAACCATAGTGCACGACCTTGAAAAGATCCCTTTCAATCTACCTTCCCAGGGCTCGTCCAGTTACTTAGATATTGCTTAACCTTACAAGTGAGCATAGATAAAACTTATTTCAGTGTGTGTTAAACGTACAGCACAGCCTCATGTCCCAGTTCTGAAATAAAGAAACATTGGAGAGCATTAATATGTGCTTAAAGCTGGGCACAGAAGTGTCTTTAGGCACACTGGGGCTTCACTTTAGGTCAGGAAGGTACTCAGAGCAGTATCTGCTCATCACCCCCACTTAACCTGGATTTGCTTTGAATTGTGGAGTGGAATCTGAAATTGATGAAATTAAAGTGAAGATAGATTCTAGGAGCACAACTTACACAACTCAGCACCAATTATGCAGACAACAGTCAAGGAGTAGAGGTAGTCAAAATTTCAAAATAATATCCAAAAGTATAAACTCCATAAAAAGTTGCTTTTCTTTACTGTTGGTTCTAATACTTGCTAATGGACACATAGTCATATTCAAAGGCTATATTTAATGGAGCAGATCTGCTTTACACTGCCTTTCTAGTCTTTGACTTAAGGGCCAAAGTCTGGATTGCAGTACTTGAGAAAACCCTTCTGACACTGCCAAATGTGTTGGCATCAGTAGAGGGCTTGTGAAGGGAAAGCATTCTGAAGGCCTAAATTCTCTTTCATTGAAACTTTTTAAAATGTAAGACCACAATTTGGATTTTCTTTGTTCACATATCCAGGCAGAATCATCACTGGTGACTTCAGAGAATAGTTTTTAGTCTGTTTATCACATCCCACAGGCTCAATTTCTAATATTATTCCCTAAAGCCTCCCCGTGCCCCTTAATCTAAAATGCTGTAGGTGAAATCCAATCCAGACATTCATGTACAGTAATTTTCCTGTTTGTGAGACCAGACAAGGTCACCAAGGAGCATGTAAAAGTATTTAAACCAGGCATATATTTTTACATATGTTGACAGTGATTAAAATATAAAAGTTCAACAAAAGCTGAGATCAGAAAGAGATAGTGCCAAAGATTGGTGCAAGTGTCTTCATACCAATGAGGAAAGAGTGCAATGCTGAAACCTCATCTAGGGGTAGCTGTAGGTAATCAATTGTATCCTGCTTTAGGATCAAGTGAATGTCCAGTTCTCTCAGCAAAAAAACTGAACCCACATCCTTCCCCAAACGCTCATTCCTCCCCTTCTGTTCTGGCACCCTTGTTTGTAGCCCGTGTTAAACTGCAGCTGGATTGTCACCACTAGGGTTTTGTCACAGCCTGATTTGGAGAGGAAGCCAATGATCTGGGAAACAGATGTGAACTTTCAAATGTACATAATCAGACCTTTAAGACTAATTTCAGGCTCACTGCTGTCTTGGATTTTCTTCAGGCAGAATAAAGAAGACAGTGAAATGGGGACAATGACAGGATAAGTGGAAAAGAGTAGATAGGATTGGTGAGCACAGATGCTAATGAACCAAAAAAACACCATTTTGTTTAAGTGTTGCATATGTCTTCACAGAAGTCAGATATTTGAAAGCAGTTCTAGTTGTAGATATTTTCTGTTCAGTACCACATCACAACCAAGCCATTCTAATGATCTCTCTCTAGCTCACCTGTACAAACAGTACTGGTAAGGAAGTAAGGAAGGAGCAGAGAGGAAGAAAAAGGAAAAAAAGTGAGCAAAGATTATTAAAGACATTGAGAGAGCCACAGTCATTGACCTTGTAGTTAAAAAAATTCTGTTTCTCTATGGATGGTAGTAGTTGAAATCTTGTATACAGATCAAAGTGAATTCAATTCTTGCATATCCCCTTTTTACCTGAACACTGCATAGCACAGTCACTGGATCTTCAGGCAAATGTAGTCTCATATAGATATATTTTATTCTTTTTTACTTTTTTTTTTTTTTTTTTCTTTTCAGTCAGAGGTCGAAAAATCTTTACTCAAATCTAGTATGTTTGAGGAAAAAAATAAATCTCTGTTTAATGTCTGGCAGTGTCAAAGAAACCATAGGTATTTTCCCACAAAGGTCCTGATTGAAACTCTTTCTATCTTATATATATATATTCAACATATTCATATATATTTACATTCAGGAATATATATAAATCTTTTGACAACAGTCAAACAGTCAAAGTTTTTAAAATAAAAACAGAGAAAGTTTAGATGTGATTTGCCAAGGCTGCTTCAAGTTCCACAGCATATGAATGAAAGGCACCACGAAGACTTTAATTCATTACAAGTTTCTCGCTCTTTGATTAAACCTCTTCTTGTGCTAATAATTCTCAGTAGCACTGCACAACATATGCTGCAGAAACTCCTGAGGCAGCCAAGCAAAACCAAGCCAAAACCAGCAGAGAAGCCTCTTACCTGTCTGAACTCCTCAAGGTCTATTTTGTTTCCCACCAGCACCACGGGGATGTCGTAGGTGTGCCGGACACGATAAATGAGCTCCTTAAACTCCGCTGCTTCTTGAAAGGATTGGCGGTCTGTGATGGAGTAGCAGATAATGAAGCCTTCTCCACCTCGCATATACTGGTCCCTCATGGCTGTGAACTCTGCCTGCAGGACAGGAAGAATACTCTCAGTAATTTGGCAAACAAAATTATCCATCTGTAAATAACGAACTTGCAGAAAACTTCCCCGGTTCCCTGCATAAATTCACATTGCTTGTTTTGCCCTTGTAAACACTGCTTGCTGAAATTTGTGCACCCTTCTGGGTTCATCAACCCCAATAATAAGGATTTCTCTTAGGGCTTTTTTTCTTATTTTCCCATCTAGGGAGCTCTGTCGTCTAAGAATATTAACTTATTTTGCATGTGCCAGCATATAGAAAACACTGTCACATGAATTACCAGAAATGTCTTCAGTGCTGCCAGTACAAACAGATGACTTGCAACAGAATTAATATTAACAGATGTAAAAAAACCTACATTACTACCTAGGAACTGGAGACAGGTACAAATTCCTTATTATGCACTCAATTCAAAAGCTCAGTAATATAAAAAAGACAGCAGTACCTAAAAAAACAGGGATCCAGTCTGCAAAAAGTTCTACTTTTTTAAAAGGTCTCAGAAAAGATGAAGGTTTCACTTCAGTGTGGGGTAACGCCATTAAATGAGAATGAATGATTTTAAACAGTGCAAGAATTGGCCCCATTTCCTTCTCCCACATTTTTCTCATTTTATGTTTATTGTCATGACAATGCTTCTTGTTGCTGGTATTTTATTTTCAGAAGCTTTTAATAACTGCCACATTGTACAAAAAAAAATCAAGATTTAGTTTTCAAAAACTAGTCTTAGGCACTGTGGCTTGAGAATATGTTTTAAAGCCAATATCTTTCTCAAGTTTGTTTGTTTTTTCTTGATCACAGCCCAGAATAACCCAATACCATGGCAACAGTCGGTCAGGATCAGAATCCTCCTGACAGAATCAGTTCTCCAGAGATATTAAGATGCAGGAAGGTCTGATAAAAAAGGAATGCACATATCAACATTGGACCACTTCTATGAGCAGCAGCATGCAGCATAAAATCCTGTAATTTTTACTCTATTGAGAATTTAGGATTTTTTAAAACAGTTTAGTTTACATATATATATCCTCAGCCCTTGCTGAAAATTGAAGGGAAATAGATTTCTTATGCTCTTTTAAGAGTCTCAGCCTTAAATGTCTCTCAATACTTGCTCATGTTGATTGACAATACTTGCTGTGAATAGACTTTCATGTTGACCATTATCATTTATTTATGATGTATCTTTTACCCAAGGGCTTTATATATCATCCAAAACATTTCACCTGCTGCAGGAATAAGTTCATCCAACTTCAAAATGGCAGACTAATAGGCAATTTAAGGGCAGGATTCTGCTTTGAGACTTACTCAGAATTTGAAAATATCTGATTTATCACCCCATAGCACCCCAGGAGAGTTTATTAACTACTAAGCTACAAGAGGCAGTGGGTCAGGTCGTAACGTAGCCCATCCTCTGGAAACTGGATATGCAAGCAGTAGGGCAGCTGAACACTGAAGATATCAAACAGAAAGGATTCCATACTCTGTGGTTTGGACAAGACACTGAACAGAGCTGTGTCTCTGTTCCCAGGTCTCTTCCAGCCATCTACATTAGACAGCTACTAGATTAATAAATGATGCAATACAAAACTATACGTCACATTCAAAGTCTCCAAGTTGAGAGCAGGGAGTGCTAATGATTAAACACAGTCACTAAATCCATTATCTGTCCTCAGAACCAGGCTTCTACACCAGAACAAAGATCTCACTGCAGCCCCCCTCCCATGTGACCCTGATTTTCTCCTCTCTGCACCAGTCCCTTTGAACTCTTCTATACCATTTTTGAGAGGGTAGTCCCCTTTATAGGAGGAACAGAACTAGTCCAGGATTCCTTCAGGATGAGCAGACAATGGAAGCCTTCAATGAAGTTAAATTTGCGGATTAGGCTTCTGAATTTAGCTGGCTGTGCAGCTGCACTCCACTAAGCTGTCTTTTAAAAAGTGGTAAACAACTCAATGCTATTAATGGACTACAGGCTACTTCTAATGCTGGGAAAAGTTATACTGTTAGTTATCTAATTAGCTATTTTTTGCACCTATTATTTATTTTTAGAGGGTTTATACTACTGAGTGGAGCTGATAGCTAAAAGTGCATGTTTTCACATAGAACCTAACGCCCAGCCCAGATGACCTGTCTTCTTGAGTTAGAAATTTCATAAATCAACTACTGTACCATTGTATGACAGCTCTGCACTACCTTTTACAAAGAATGAGCTCTGTTTAAGTGAGGTGATCCACCTCTAGGAAGTGTTCAGAGCTTTGTACACTCATTTATAGCCATTTACGGCAAAACAAGAAGGAATTAGGTCACACATCCCTGTTTAAGTTACTCACAGTAAGTGATGTTCTGGAGCACAAGTACTCCCAGGATCACTCCCCAAGGATGCTTAATGGCTTTCCCTGACTGACAGGAGGCCCTGGGCTCCTAATTTCACACACTGAATCATTCCAAAGGGACAAAGTTCTCAGCTTTTAGGACTGACACTTTTGAGTCAGAATCATCTACCTACACATTCTGGTTCATGCCGGGGCATAGTTAAAACTTTCAGGATAAGAATGAGTTTACCTATGCAATTTTTTATTATGACACATTATTACTGCTGATAAATTAGACTAAACAGGCAAAATACTTTAGCGTCATTTTTGAAATGATCCATTTTCAGAGGCATTAAATATTCTGTGCAAACTGGATTGAGGACATAGAATTGGCTTTCTGTTGTTAACACAGCTAGTCATTTCCATTGCAATTTTTTGATGTTGACATTCACTTCTCAGCTTTTTTCCCTTGGCACAATTGTTCAGTACAAAGTCAAGGACTCCAAGATCAAACATAAACAAGCCTGGTTTTTTTTATTTCAAAAGAAGAGCGTTGTTTGGGTTTTTTTTCCCTTTTTACCAGGAACCTCAACAAAATAATATATACTAAAAGAAAGAATAAATTTAATTACCAATAAATACACTAAAATCTTTGCAAATCTGCATGCATATTATACAAAAAAGACAAAGGACTAAGAAGAAATTACATCTCTTTGGTAATTTTTTAAGTTCATGTCTTACTCCAGATTCCACTTTTTCATGTTTATCTACAGTAAGCAGAACTAAAACACAAGTTGACCTGGGTTTTGTGAATGGTCCGGTGTAGAGACAAAGCATAAGGTTTTACAGATTTTTCAGTGGTTTTATTTTTATATTTTGTCTGGTTCCCTTATCAAATAAGCTGTGCATCTCTCACACTAACATCTTCTTTAATTGTTTCCTGGTATAAAAAGGACCTCTTAAAAATCATTCAGGAATAGTACTGGATACAAATTTCTACTTAATAAAGGGAAAATACAAAACATTCCCAAATTAGTAAATGCCAGGGGAAAAGAGAGAAGGTAATCACACCCCCTCAAAAGGAAATCAATTCTGAAAATTAAAGCGGAGATTTGTCATGCTTACAGCACTTTGCAGCTTGGCATCAATCTTGAGTACTCTCTTGTGTATTATGACTAAGACTTAACTGAAAAGTGTGGTAAAAACTCTTTTGAAACCAAATCATCATTCTTCTTAGGAGATGTGATACTTGAGAACAAGAATCAAGATTGGACAGAAACAAAACAAAATTTTTTCTAAAAGTTGAAAGAAGGCAGCATAACTTTTCCTTTTCTTTCTCCAGTATAAGTGAATGCAGAAAAAAAAAAAAAATCCACTAATCCTCATAAGACTATATATTTCTACCTGTTGTTGAAGAACGCTGACAAGAAAATCTCTTGATGGTTAAGTTGCTCCTAGAGAGATGTCACATTTGCCTTTCTTCAGTGATCAGGCATCTGGCATGATTTTTCACAGGTATGAGAGCAGCCTCACAATGATATCGAGCAGCTTCCTCAACATGCTTGGATACGTCTCATCCTGTGGTATCGAACTGCCCACACCCAGCTTGATTCACTTCTCCCTTATTTATCCCCCTCTAAACTCTCCCTTCCCCAAACTTTTCTGGGAGGCATAAGAGCAGAGCTTGCCTCTGAGGACGGGGACAGAGGAAGCCTTGAGTGTATTTGTACATTCCATGTTCCTCATCTTTAGAACACTCATGTGTTCCAGCAGCATCTTCACATTTTTCTTGACCAATGTGCAATTGCCAGTGTACCTGTAGAAACCTACCTCATTGCCTTTTAATCTTTCAAAATTCTTAATTCTAGCAACACTTTCTCTTTCATAATCCAATACATTCACACTCCAGAAATACTTCCCTACCTACACTTGGGAGAGTGTTCCTATTTCCACATCTTGTTGTCCCGTATTTTCTGGCTTTTTCTAGCAGCTTTTAAGAAAATAATTTAGCAAAAAGAAAATGCCTAACTTGTTTTCTCTCCTTCATCTTGATTGATACTCTTTTATTTCATATTTCATTATGACCAAGAGAATTTTTTCATAAAAACCAATATTTTTAATTAATTTAAAAATCATACTATTATCATGGATATATAAATAGAACTTGTATATTGGGGTTTTTTTTTTATTAGAGACCAGAATATTTTCCAAGATCAGTATCTTAATGTGCCCAGAAGAGAAAACAAAGTCATTGAGCAATAAAGTCACACTACACTGAGATACCTTGATCTTTATGAAGGGTTTGTCTATGTATTATCATCAAAATTAGTCTGGGTCTCATGGTCAGCTCAGGACAGCCCTGCCTTGCTGACTAAAAGAATCTAGAATGATGTATAATAAAGTTCAGCAAAGCCAGTTTGTTTCTTTGCTGTTTTCTAAGTATTTCCTCTTTAACAATGCTGGAGAAGGAGTGCTGGGTTAGAAAATCTTTTATGCAACTTGGCACAGAAGGTGTTTAGAGGCACTTTAAATCAGCAGAGCTCTAAAGTGAAGACGTTTCTCCCAGATCCCCATGTTGTCCATAGCTAAGAGATGGCTTTGACAGCCCCAAAAAGGATAAAAGAGAAAGAAGAAGAAGAACCACAAAAAACCCCAAACAAACAAACAAACAAACAAAC